TTTTTTCGGGAAGCGATGTGATTGTCGCTCTCTGAAGCGATAGGATGTGATAATGTGAATGAGCTGCTTGTGTTTCAGCAGTGCCTGAGGGTGCCAAGGCAAAAAAAAACTAACTCCGGTGCTGTCAAAAACCCCGGTGCTGCCTGCACCGACTTGATGCTGAGGAAACAAAGCTCTCGATGGCAGAAGCTGCATTTCCATAGTTTGCTTACATTTCAGAAGACCTTAAGCTTTGTCTGAAGTTGAAGAGTTTGCTTTTAAGTGTTGCAGAGGTACCTGCCACCTGGTATTTAAATGGTAAGCAGGCATTAATTTGCAGAAGAGCAAAGGATTTAGTGAAAGGTCATATTCAAGTGGCTTTAGTTCTTGAGATCTGCTGTGTACGGCCGTTTAATCTAAAATCTAAGAGGGAGAGAGTGATCAAATAGGTGGCTAACGAGTACTGTCAGTTGTTTACACAATGGATTTGCTTATAGTTTTTGGTTGTTTATTGCAGACGGAATGAGCTGATTGTAATAAATAACTAGCATTTGTATATTTTCATTTATATCAGACTATCTTATAAACAGGTACTTTTTGCCATTCCAGGGAGGTAAGTGAAATAAATCCCTTTTTGCAAAAGGGAAACTGAGGCAGAGCAGTTTGGCTATTGCACTGATAGTCACACCGGTGTACGGATCAAACTTGGAGTATTCCTTCGGCTTGTTTTATTGCTTTCTGATAATTGCACAATAAGATAGTTCTTACCTAGTCTGTTAAAATATCACTTCTCACAGTACTGTTTCCAGCAGTACTTCTTAATTAACGTTCATACATCAGTGCTACCTGTCTCATCCGTATTTCAGGGAAGCTATTGCATATTCTTGCATTGCTCAGTAACCGTAGTGTTTTGATACTGATTTGTGTGAAGTCGAGGGGAAAAAGGTAATCTGTCAAAAAACTAGAATTAATCGTGTAGGTTTATGATTTAAAAAATGAGAACTACGATGCATTCTTATTTTTTAAAAAGCAAGCTATAATTGAAGTAGCTTTTACAGTTCAGTGCTCTTTACAGCAGCTTTTCAGGTTTTGTTTTTATACTAGCAAGAAATACGATACTGTAAATTATACAGAACTGTTGATCTTGTTGCTGAAATGTTTCCTTAACTTTGACTAAAATTGCTTCTATTAAACCAGTTTCCCCGCAGACCATTTGCAGGAACTCAAGGGAATAACTGCATCATCTGCTGCGGTTTAATAGTGTACAAGTTTCTGCTCTTGTTATCTGAAGGAACAAGATGATTTCTGTTAACTCAATTTTTGTTACTAGTGGAGGGAAAACAAAAGAAAGTAATCTACTTCATGGCAACAGGGAGGTTTAAACTGCCCCAGCTCTCCAGTATCATTTACACCCATCATTTGAGACCCGCTGCCTTTTTACGGAGCAGAAAATATCTTCCAGTAAAAGGTTTTGTTGCTGTGTTTAGATGCTACAACACAATGAATTTGTATATAATGAAACTTGAAGCCAGTGAGGCTGTTTGCTATGTGCAGAGCTGGATGTAGCGTGCCTAGACAGGTTTGTGTGTTTTCCATCAGGATTCTTAAACCTCTTCACAAATCCGAAGAGCATCTTTTTGTGCAATAATGCAGAATTGAGTGTGTTTTGTAACGCTACAAATTGCCGTTGAGCAAAAAGCAGCATTTTCCTCGTATCAGGGGTATTTTACAGGGGAGATCTTTTGTGGTGAACAGAAGGAGGGCCTACAGTGCAGGATCAGCAGGGCTGTCATCTCAGCTCTGTTTCTGAGCACTTGTGCCTTGGTAGTTTGTTTAATCTGTGTGCATTTTGAAGGTGGGAATACACAGGTAGGCAAAGGTAGTTGTTGCTTGTCTTTTTTGCATAGAACTGGATGAAATGGACACAGAAGACTGAAGATGTAGGGACTGCAGATTTAATTTCTGTGGCATTAAGATGCTAGCTGGACTGGTCTGTTGACCAGCTCGTGCATGGTGAGAATCATAGTGACCTTGCAGCCATCGTCACTTTATCTCGTCTACTTTGTAGGTTACTTGAATCGTTTAATGTTACATAAATTAAATTGTAAAAGCAGCTAACTCTTGTGGCTTTTTTGTTGTCTTTTTTCCCCTTTCTTTTTTTCTTCCCATCCTCTCTTACAGTGTGTCTGGTATTCTGTGATAGCTGAGCTCCTGGCGTTTGTTTGCAAACATTTCAGTTGTTATTGATCCCTCTCCAATTCCAAAGTTGATTTGGCAAAGGCCTTTCCTTAATTGTATTGTTTACCTGGCTGTCATTCTTGTCTTTTACTGCTCCATCTTTTGTGTGTTGTCACCTTTTCACTTCCAAAATTTCCCTATTCTGTTCTACCAAACAGACACAGGAATAACATGGATGTCTTTTTTTCAAAATACAAAATAACGGGTTCAGGGTTTTTGAACTTCCTCATGCTGGAACTTTGAACTCAATTTTAATTCTCTGGATTACTTTAACCAAATTTGGCAAAACAAGGAAAAACTTTTCCCCTCACAATGCATTCTTTATGTCTTTAGGTTGGTGTTTTAGAAAGTGTCTGGTATTGCTCTTCTTAATGGTATCAGTTTTCTTGTGTTTTCAAGCAGGTATTTGCATATTTATCTCCTTGGTGTGTAAAAGATGGTTTCTGTTCAAGGAGCCTGTATAAAGTCTCATTGTACAGAGTATTAGCCTGAAATACAGTGTCTTAGTTGTGTAAATAAAACCCCAGATCTGCCTTCCTTTTGTCCGTCTCTGCTCATTTGTTTCTGAAGTGCTGTTCCTCTGTGCTAACGTGCCAAACGGAGGAGCATCTCTGTGGTCACCGCAGTGTTTGGTGTTAGCAATCTGCAGATTGCAGCACCTTAAATGACATCCTAGATGATAACGGCTTTAAAGGAGGAGTAATGGGTTCAGTTGATAATCTATGGATTAAATTCTCTCTCATTTTAATTGTGATGTCTGATTCCACAGTACTAACAGAATGAAGACAGGAGTACTGCTGCAGGCACAGTGTAAGTCGCAGTAATTGTGCACTCCGTTCATCTTATTTTCTTGATGCTTTTGCCTCCCTCCGGTCTGCTGCTTTGACTTCGTGTTGTGGTGTATGAGGCTCAGACAGCCTGAACTTTTTCAGCCTCTTCATAGCGTGGCCCACTTGCCCAAACTTCATGTTGACCTGTATGTTACCTTGCTTCCTGCCTTCCTGTTAATTTGAGTCTTTGAATTTACATGCCGGTGTTTCCAGCCCTCCTTTCTCTGTGCTGGTTTTGCTCTCGCCTTGCTTGCAAGCCTCCTCGTTCTTTGTCAGGAAACCAGGTTTTTGGAGCACTGATGGGTGGGTTAGGCGTCTGTCACTGTGATCCGCGCTCCTCTCTGACGGGGCTGCTTGGGGAGGCCGGGCCGAAGGCAGGACGAGGCTGGCATGTTGCTCTCGGTTCTGCCTGCACGGAGCTTGGCTTGACTGTAGGCGTCTGTGTCCCGGTGCATGTTGGCTCGATCGGCCCAGAGCTCTCTTGGGGCTGTGCTGCCAAGCCGGATGGTGGCTTTTGATTTTACTGTGTTGGCGTATTTTCTTTTCTCTTTCCTTTTTGCATGAATCAGCAAGCACAAAAACTCGGGTTTCCACCAGCTACGTGTTTTTCTTGTGATGCCGAGGAGTGTTTCCTCTGAAAATTTTGAAACTTACTGTGCTGGGAGAATTTAGCTGGGTCTGTGCATGACTTTGTAATGGTTTGACTAAAGATGTGGCAGTGAACTGGTGCAGGTATGTGTGCATGTGCAGACATCGCTTCAGACAGCTTTTATGTGTCCTCACCGAGGTGACATTGATTTAACTCGTTGAAGGTAGCATCATACCTTATGTGTCTCTCTCTGAGCAGTTTGTAAATACTTAAAATGGGCACTAAATCTTTTTTGCTCATTTTCATGTGCTATTCCTCCTTAAGTACAAAGTGTTGAGAGTGTTTGGGGGGTGTTAATTAGAAAACTTGTCTTAACTTGCTTTTCCTGTGAGCAAGCATGAATTAATTATGGATTTTTAAATGCATTTTTAATGCATATTGGTTTCAGTTCGTGGTATTTCTCAGTGACTTCTTCAAAAGAATAAGCTAGTTAAGCAAATATTCAAGTGAGATCGTTGCCAATGAAACATAATGGATTTACTTACCCCTTTTTTTAGCATTATGTCACCAATTAACACCCCCTCCAATCTAGATACGGTACAGTTATATGTTTTCTGTCATTTACATTAGAATATACGGTAGTGTGATAACCTCCTTGTGACTTTTGCAGCGACAGGTGGCAAAAGGTGCACTCCGTTAAAAACTTTATTGTGTAAAAAACTAGTACACCCAAAGTGTTTTATTTAGTCTTTTGCTTGTTTGCATTTTTTTTCTTCCTTGATGTGTTTACCAAAGGCTAGGTTTCCCTCTTACCTGTGGGAAAGACATTCCCCAGTGTAAATCTCCTCCTAAATCTCCAGAAGGAAATCTCCTTACGTTAGGAGATCTTGGGTTTTGTTCCCGTATCTACCACTGGCTTGGGGAGCCTTTGGGCAGGTGATTTAACTTTGTTGTGCACATGTGTTTCCATTGATGAAATAGATGTTTCTTCAAATATCAGAAGACGACTGTGATTACTTGGGAAGTGCTTTTAAGTTATTAAATAAGAAATTGCTATTAGCTGAGAAGTGTGTCATGGAGAAAAGCTTCCTAGAACAGTGTTGTAGTTCTTGATTTATGTCAGGGTAAAGGGAGGGGAAATTTCGTTTACTTGACTGAGTGGCTTTTTCTTCCTTTTCATAGACTGAACAGTGAGTCTTTATCTCATTTACAGAAATAGGATACAGTGCTGCTGTTTTGTGGATGAGAGAACAAGTTTCATGTTGATTTCTATTACTTTTTGTAAAATAATTTTTCACAAAGACGTCGTATCTTCACGTTCTGTTTTGGTTTTGTTTTTTGGAACAGCAGACCCCTGCTAGAAACTGGAACACAGAGAAGAGTTGCTTAGGGTGAGCGATGCTCAGAGATACTATGAAGTCCTGGAGCGACAGCCAGTCAGACCTCTACAGCAGTGACCAAGAAGAGGAAGAACAGATGATTTTTGGAGAAAATGAAGACGATTTGGAAGAGATGATGGATTTAAGTGACTTGCCTACCTCACTCTTTGCTTGCAGTGTTCATGAAGCTGTGTTTGAGGTACAGGAGGAAAAGGTAAGATAGAGAGAGGTGCGTTTGGGGGTATAGTATTGTAGGGATTGGTGCAGCTATTGAACATTTTTGTCTGGATTTTCAGTGTATTACTGTGTATTGTAGCTGGGGACGGACACACACACACACCAACCTGAAGTACTTACCTGGGAAGCTCGGATCGGAACGAGTACAGTTACCAAAGAGCAGATAAAACTACCCTGTTCTGGCATTTGAAGTTGTTAATAGATGTGTAGTGCTACTCCCATGAAAAGCTCTTCTGAGGTTTTGGGTAGTTTTCCTCTTTATCCAACGTACCAAATCCAAGGGCAAATTTAAATAAAATCTGAAAGCAAATTGAAATATTTTATTTCAAGGCAAGGATTCTGTTAAAAGAGCATTATAAATTTGCAGTATGTGTGTTCTAACTTGAGCTAAGAGAACATCTTGAAAGTGGCTTAAAACCTTACAGTAAACTGAATCTTCTCTGGCCTGCTAATGTTTGTGTTCAGGCAAATCTGTGCTTTCCCTCTGCTTCCAAGACCATCAGGAGTGATGATGTGCACTGCGTGAGTGAGGGAAAATAGGAGGGGCTGATACGAAAGCTTTGGTCTGTGGCTTCTTCAGTTTCGGTTTACAAAAGTACTGACAAAGCTACGGGTTTGCTGAAAAGTTTTCAGTGTCTGAGGTCAAGGTGTGGTGTCAGGCAGGAAACGCTGCTGTGTGCCTCAGAGCTGCTAAATTGTGTACTTGTGTCAACCTTTCAGACACTTGCTGTGAGCCGAGTTCCTAAGCCAGTGCTCCAGACAAACGGACAGAGTACATTAAAATAAAAGGAACAGCAACTTGTTGAGAACATGCACGTGGTGTCACTTAAACAGTTTGTAAAGCAGCTTACGGATGCCTTTTTGGGTAGGGAGGAGGGTATTAGGCAATGAGAGCTGTTGTTCTTGTAGGTTGTTGTAACTGTATTCCTGTGGGTACAGAAGACAGGTGCCAGAAGAGGCTGTTGGGTCTTTAGTGGCTTATGTTCCGAGGCAGTGCTTTATTTTTTCTTTCCCATGTTTTGTAGAGAGAATGAAATACAAGTATTAACCATTAGTTGTATTTCTAGTGTTAAATGCTTCTCTTCAAAGACCATGAGTTCTCACTAGCCTATATACATCAGTAAAAGAGTTAATTTTTAGCCTTGTATGTTAATGCTGATTTTACTGGAAAACAAAACAGGCAATGCATGAGAGTATGTAAATTATATGTCATCTAACTGAAAAAAAAATGCAAGATGATGTCTCCCTTTCTAGATATGATTTTAAGCCCCTGGTGACTCGTTTAGGTTGTTACTGTTTCTACTAGATCAGCTTCTAGCTCAAACCGCTTTTGTGAGCGGGGAGCACTCCGCTTGTTTCGGTAGTTGCTGCCCTCGGAAGATGGTAGTAAAGCGTCAGTTAATCGATGGAACATGAAATAATGCCCTGGACTAATTTCACTCTGATAGCACAGAAAGAGCAGTGCCCCATAATTCATTGTGTGTCCAGTACAGAAAGTGAGCACTGGAAATGTCGCCTTGCTGCGTTGTTTTGCACGTGTCTACACGTGATTTGTCATTTTAACGCACGTTTGCTTTTGTCCATGAAAAGTATTCCCGCAGTATGTCCGTGCATACGGGGTGTATCAGATGTGCTAGCTTTTTCTCTAATGATACTGGGGTAATTAGTTGCCACGTTAAACTACTTGTAAATTTAACCACAAATTTAAAATTTTGCGTTTCAAATATAGTTTGTAAAGTGTGCTGCTGGTTCTGTCAGCCAGCTCGTCTAAGCTGATTGCCATAGCCAGGGCATTAGTTTAGGATAGATCAGAATTGTACATTTTATCTAAAATTGAATGCTTACCATGCAGACCTCTTCCTAGTGCTCGGAAGAATAGAGGTGCTTTGATAAATTATGTGGCTTTTATCTGTTTTATGAAATTCAGCTTAGTCAGCCCCTGGACACGCGTTTCAGTGGCTTGATGTGCTGCTGCCTACATCTTCTTTTAAAGGCTGAGCGCACAGCAAACAGTTCAGGAAACAAATGGAAATGGTGCTGCCTGTGCGTGAACAGAAAGCAGTTTGAAAATTTCTGATGGTTTGGGGGATTGTTTGGTTGTTTCTTTTGGGGGGTGGTGAGGTGGTTTTTTGGGTGGCGCTTACAGCTTCACTACCCAGGGGGTGTTTTAGCTCATCTGGTAACGCTAGCAAAGCTCGCAGCAGTTGCAGTAGGTTGTCCAAACGAATCTTCCTCCTCCCTGCTTTTGTGGCAGTCACAACTGTAAAAACCAGATTGCCTGGTTCTGTATGTGGGCACAAATATTTTATGCTCTGCATTTTAATTTCTGAAATGTCACGTGAGTGAGTGATGATTAATATTCTGGTGAGGAAAGAAGGCTAAAAAGCCACTGTTGATTTCAAATCTGTATATTTAATTCTTACAAAGGATTTTGCTGGGGTTCTATTTCTGTTCTGATTCTTTCATCCTTTTTTTTTTTTACATTTTCTAGCTCTATTTCTGCTTTTACTGCTGATTGGTTAAAGCAACACTTAAACATCAACAGTTCATGTTGAATTGACTGTTAAGTGGTTGAATTTAATGGCATCAGTTTCCAATTTTGTTCAAGTGTGGTAGGTTAAATACATGGTGTGTTTACAGAAAAACTGTAAGATGTCAAAGTTGGCATACGTCTTTTAATAATTTTGTCTTTTACGTATCATTTAAAAGTTTAGTTCAAACAGAAAAAGGTGAAAAATTCAGATAGAGTATAAGTATGTATTGTTTCTTTCTCAACTGTTCACCTTTTTGAGGGTAACATCGTGACTGCAGCACTGTCGTTGTCATTTTCAATTGCAGAGTTGATCCACTAGATTGCAGTTTTGTGTTTGTCAAGTACAAGATTTGGGCAGTGTGCAGAAGGAACAGGTTTTCTGGTTTTAATAAAGTCCTTGACGTTGTACAGATTGGAGAGAATTGTGCAAGAAAGTAGTATTTTTGTTAAAACTGACAAGGGCATCATCATGTGAAGAATTTCTTCAGTCCTATTTAAAATGAAAGCCCCTCATCCTGTGATTGTTTTACAGGAGGAAGGCACCAACAGGATTTTTGTAGAGATCAGCGTCTGCTGGAATCAAGCAAATTAACTGTTGCCATTGGAAAGAGTTTTAATTTAAAAGTATTCCTTTTCTGCTTGTTTGCTTATGTAGATCTCTGGATAACTGAATGTTATCAGAACATAGTAAATACAATTGAAAAGAGGTTGCTTGCGTACTTCTCATCGATTGGTTTTAATCTGACTTTTTTCAGGGAATGGAAATTGGCACTAGAAGATTTCCTCGTGCACTTACACTAGGGGAACAAAAGAAATGCCTGCAAATTAGGTCTCTGGTAGATCAGAGAACTCGTAAAATAAAACAGATTGACTTTCATAACAATGCAGTTGTTATTCTTTAAAGAACTTGAGGATAAGGTCTCCTGTTCAATAAAACATGACTTTACAATTTTTTATTTTTGTGAACAAGTGGTGTTTAGTAACAGTAGATTTTTGTCTCTTCCAAAGTCACCTTATTCATTCATCCTGGGACTTTTGACATTTTCCTTAAGCACTTGGTGCTTTAGTTTCTCTAATATAAAAATTAACCGATTTCCCTGGTACTTTTGGAGATGCTTGGGTGGAAGTCAGGTGCAAGTCCCAGTGTTTTTGTTGACATCTGGACCTTTGCGGAGCTGTCGCTAGGTGGCAGTTTAAGAGTTTCATAGGCTTGTTCACATCAATGCGCTCTTGGAATTCGGATTTAAATAGCGAGACAAAGCAGTGCTGCACTGAGTACAGTCGGGTTAACTGAGGGAAGTATGGAATGTGCAGGTTTAGGCAATTAAGGAAGTTAAGGGGATTTGGGAGGCGAAAATGAAAGGCAAATGTGTGCTCATTGAGTGAAAATGTTCATTTTGTGTTTGCTGAATCTTTGTACTTCATCTCTAGGAAAGATTTGAAGCACTTTTCACAGTCTACGATAATCAAGTGACGTTCCAGTTGTTTAAAAGCTTTAGAAGAGTCAGGATAAACTTCAGCAATCCAGAGGCGGCAGCGAGAGCACGGATAGAACTGCACGAAACCGACTTCAGTGGGAAAAAGCTGAAGCTGTACTTTGCACAGGTATTCTGGAACACTAAGGTATCGTACATGTGTCCTCTTTCTTCTTTATTCCACGTTTGCCCATCAATTCCGTTTTGTGATAAATATCTGAAGCTGCCTTCAGCCTCATTCTTCTACACTGAGATGTTTCACTCGGGTTGAAATTCGTGCTTATGGGGACAGTTTTGCTTTTCGGCTTGAGCGTAGAGAGCTGTAATTGGTGTGGAGGGGTCGCTGTGTAGTGACACAAACCACCTTCCCCCGTACATAAACAGAAATGTGCTGAAAGAAAACAAGTGGGACCAAAGATCTCTTTGTAATAGGTGCTTCACGGGCATATTCTTCTTTTTGGATTAGCAGTCACATGTGTCATGTGCTGGTGCTTTGCCAACACTCAAACAGGCCAAATTCTTAACTGCAGCATTTCTCCAAGGTGTCGTACCAGGAGGACTGACAAAAGCTGTACTACTTTTATTTTTAAAGCTAGGCTGAACTAAGCACTGCTGATACAGAGAATGGGCATGCATTATTGGGGAAGTAGGCTAAAGAAAAAGTGAATTGATATTTGTCGTCTTAATCTGTATCTCCTGGCTTTTGTCTTCAGGTACAGGTATCCGGTGAAATAGGCGACAAGTCCTACCTCCTTCCTCCACAGCCTGTTAAACAGTTCCTGATATCACCACCTGCATCTCCACCAGTTGGATGGAAACAGAGCGAAGATGCAACCCCCCTGATAAACTATGACTTGCTTTGTGCTGTCTCCAAGTTGGGGCCAGGTAGGAATATTTACCTGCTTTTGTTGTGTTACTTAACTTCAAAAATAGTTACTGAGGGAATTTATCTACTGAGAAGAAACTGAATCTCTTATATGTTGTTCATTCCTGGAATAAAATGATCCATCACTTTTTTTTACTTAATTCGTTAATGGATTGAAAGCATAGCACAGAACTGGATCCATTTATTGAATTTTGTTACAGTCTCAGTATGAAATAACAAACCAGAAGAGGAACGAAAAGTTCAGTCTCTTGCAGGTGGGCAGCTCCACTTGTTAAGGATACTAACGTGTTCTTTCTGTCTTTAACCGTCCAACTTCTTTAGGAGCCTTCCTGGGAAATGTGCTGTCTGCTTTCTGTGAAAAGCAGGGAGCTGGGGGGCTTAATGGTCTCAGATGCTTTTGTAGCTTTTCATTTACAAGTGTCATATAAATGTACAGCATAAATGATGTCACTTAAAAACTTGTCTGCTGCTTGGATTCTGATGTCTTCAGTGTTTCACGATAGTTTTTTACATCCCTCCCTCCCTTCCTTTATATATCAGTTAAAAGACTGATTGTATTCAGAGTACAGTGTAACAGATACAGGGGTTATTTTAAAACATTTAACCGGTCTGGTGAAGTGTGGAAGTTGAGTAAGTTAAAGATGAGATGGGGATAAATGAATGTTTGGTTGTGTTACTGCAGCTGCTAAGGAGTTCTTGAGCTAAAGTAGCTTAATGCTTTTTCTTGGGGATGTTCTTAGCGTGATTTTTGTTTGCTGCTCTTCAGGGGAAAAGTACGAGCTGCATGCAGGGACAGAATCGACCCCTAGTGTAGTTGTCCATGTCTGCGAAAGTGAGACAGAAGAGGAAGAGGAAATAAAAAATCCCAAACAGAAGATCATGCAGACAAGGCGTCCTGAACCACCTGCCACAATACTGAATGAATCTAAAGCATTCGATTGTACACTGGAGGTAGGGGGCACTATGCACTGTTAAGTTGTGTGATGCTCCAGATAGTATCAAAAACCAGACACTTACTGAGTTCCTGTGTTGCTGTCTGTACTGCTGCTATATGTCATGTATAGCGACAACAGATTTTACTTGTAGTTGTCTCTCATGGTCAAGATTTTTGGATGCCAATGCTCTGACAAGCACTTTAATTTTAGGGACTAGTCCCCTGAGTGTAGCAAATCCACCTGACTTGAAATAGTGAAAAATAGGAAGTCTGGTTGTGTTTTCTTTTCTTTTCTTTTTTTTTTTTTTTTTTTTTTTTTAAAGATGTTACCCTTTTCTTCATATTGTACAGTGTGATGTACCAAGTGCTGAAATAATATCTTAAATGTCACGACTGGATTCCAGAAAGTTCATTGTATAGCAATTAAAAGCTGATCTGTGCTGGTACAACAGCTTCCAGTTAGTATAGTGTTAAATGCAAGTGAAACGTACTCGTTATGCTAAACTTCCTTCCCAGCTAGTAATCTTCGGAGGTGAAGATTAACCTTGGCTTTTCTCAGAAATGCCAAGTATGTGGTTTTAATTTGACATGAGGCACAAATACACGTATGGAACTAAATTCAAGCAGTTTTGCTGACTACGCGGAGGAGAATACAGGAGGCAGAACCACAGACCGCTGAGAAGACGGACTCCGAGTCTGCTGCCAGCACTGCTGCTGCTACTGTCCGTGAGGCTACACCGATAGGTACAACGGTTTGCACTGACACCTCGCTGGGAGGCAGTTACAGCGTGTGGCGTGAAATACGGTTTCAGCTACTGAATGTGTTGTCTGTGCTCCTCTCTGAAAACACGGTAACGTTTGTTCCTCTGCAGTCCTAGAGATGGCCTACGCTTGTGAAGAAATTCAGCGACTGTTACGTTACGTTAGGAGATCAGACACCTAGGGTTAGTTTTTAACTTGTGCTCCTAAACTTCTCCAGTCTGTTTTGTATTTTTTTAAGACAATCGGTTGCCTGGCTTAGCCAGTTTTTATGCCGTTTCAGCCCTTGTTTGCTGTTTTTCATTAAGACTTTTTCTGCGTGGCATCCTGTCTGTCTGATGGAGCGTCTGCTACTTGCGAGACCAGGATGCGTCTTTTAAAACACAGCTCTTTAATTTTGTGATCTTGTGTTAAGTGTTCTAGTAGGAGGAAAATACCCCGTGGTATACCGACACACGCCTCTATGCTTTTATGCTGTTTTATAACCAACTTTTTTTAGTCTAGACAGATTCTTCTTTTTTCTATTTAAAAGAGTAAAAATGATTTGTGAACAAACCAGGCTGCTGATGTTTATATATATATAAATCATTCAGAATTGGCCTTTTTCAAATTCATTTCAGTGTGTTTCACTTCCACATGACGTGCTCATTGAGTTTTCCAAAAGTGTTTTCACTTGATTGACAGCGGAGAGAAAAAGCAATGGTCATGAATCTGCATGGGCTTGGTAGCGTTCGACTCCGTATTGTGCCAGCTCGTGATCCCTTCCTGCCACCAGCTTCAAAATGGGATCCTGCAGGCAGGTCCTTGTTCCAGAGGCAGGAATAGTGTCTATTAAAAAGGTAGGAAAATGGGGTTTGTTCATCTTGCCTCTACAAGCGTGATATTTATGTATCTCTTCAGGTATTACAATCACTCAAAATCTGACTTCTCTGTCTCACTGTTCCATGTTATTAAAAACAAACAAACAAAAAACAAGAAAAAACTTGTATTGTCCATCAGGCTTGTGTATTTTTAAAATTCCAGACGTCCGTTTTGGATTTTCTGTGGTGGTTATATTTTGTTAATTGTTTAATTTCTACCCCATTGTAGTAGTTGCTGTAAGTAGGAATAAGTGGAAAACCTTCAGAAACAGTTTTATAAGGCAAATCAAGGAAGTAATGTTGTCGATGTATCTTGTGTAAAATGTGCAACAACTTGCATTCCAACATCCTTCATCGTGTAAAGATTTAAAATAAAAACAACGCAGTGCCATTCACATGTGGTTCTTCAACTGTGCTCCATATCGGCCCCAGTTGGATATCCCAAGTTTTCTAATGGTATCGTGGGCTTGTGCAATTGAGTGAACAGCTGAGGTAGTTCATGGCTTTCAATAAACACATTTATTGGTAAAATAGTGCTGAAGAATTTGGGGATTTCAGCAGAAACTCCTTGGGAATCGCTGGGCTGAAGGAGGGACTGAGAGAGGTTTTATGGTGGGTTTGGGTGCCTGTCGCAGCAGAGTTCCTTTGGACGTGTACCTCATGTGAATTTGGAGTGGGAGTTGGACGCTGGCTTACTGTTGTGGGAGGGAATGTCCGGTTTGGGTTGCAGCATTGAGCTCTGTACAGGTTTTGTGGCAATAAAAAGCAATACTGACTCGTTTTCCAAAATCTCCAGAGGAAGGAAACGATCAGACTTTATATAAAATGTGCGTGCGTTGATCAGCAGAGCCGTACACCACCAGCGTGTGGCGCTGCCTGCGCTTTTGCCCCCAGGTTCCCCTCTCTTGCACAGCCCGGGCAGATTTCGGCGGCGGGTTTTGTGTCAGCCGGCAGAGGGAGGCTGCGTGCCCTTCTCCTAACGCACCGTGGCGCGAGGTCACTGAATTATGTCAGAAATGCTACAAAATCGCGTTCCTTCGCCGTCTGTGAAGCCTCATTTCTGGGACGGCGCCTGGGGGCCCCGTTGTGCGAGTGCGCCGGGAGACGCTGGCTAGCGTGAGCCCTGCCTCGAGCGGGCGTGGGAGGCCGGGGTTCAGGGGCGCCGGGGTTCAGGGGCACCGTGGGGAAGGGGGTGGCTGGTGCCTTGCAGGGGCTGACGTGGTGGGCGAGGAGGTGGCAGAGCAGAGGCTTTACAAAAGGGAAACTTGAATTTAGCCATCGGAAGTGATTCTACTCCACTTTCACTCGGTCCGTAACCTCAGGGTGACTGAGCCTTCCTTGTAAAATGAACAAAATTCAAGTTTGCTTTATTTAATAGTTCAGTAACGACCATCAGAACCTGCTTCTCTTAATCACTGACCTGCCCTTAACTGAAGGGCTGTTTTTACAAGGAGGCTTGCACAGAGGCACCAACTCAGCCCTTTCTGAGCTTGGACTTTGTATAAATAAATATCCCAAATTCCTTTACAGCCTTCTGCTTGAGAAGCAGCTGGAAAAATGTATGGTCTTTTCTTTGGGCAGTTTGCCTGTGTATTCTGGAGAAGAAGTTGCTGGGGGGTACTTTGTTTTTATTTTATAATAGCTAACAATGGGCCTTATTTTTGCAATCCTGTGATTACTGTCTCTGACTCCATTTCTACCTTGTTCCTGAACTGCTTCCCCCCAGAAAAACCTCGTGCATAAAATACCTCTTGGTTAATTTATTCCCTGAAAGGTTATATTTCTGTTATTGTCTGGTTTTGGATTGCTGATCTTTTTTAGCCCAGAAGATCGTCTTGCTCCGCTTAATGTGTAAAACTTGCTGGGAGGGGTTCACAGTCCAGCGTGCTTTTCGTGTGGGAAGAGAGCACAGCCAAGCCTCGTTCCCTTGGAGAAAGACGCAGAAGTGTTTCCTTTACCAAACCGAAGGGGCGGCGCACGCCTGGCTGGACCCGTGAGTCTTTGTTCCTGCGGGGGCTTACACGGCACCTGCAGCGCACGAAGGGCAGCCTGAGGGGCCGGGAGCCAGCGACGGAGCGGGACGGTGAAGCTGAAGTCGGTGGGAGGGAGCTGTGGTCCTTGACGCCTCGGAGGAGCGTGTGCTTAAGCAGCCTTTTGCCTTTGGTCCGAGCAAGGTAAAACACTTTTTCTGCTGTAGCTATTGGCCGAGCTGAAACCTGAGTGAGGGCGACTACAGGGTTGTCTCCTAACATCAGCCATGCAGCTTGAGGAAGGCTTGCACAGCGTCTGCTTGAGCGTCTCCATACCCTTCACCTAAAGATCAGGGCTAGAGATGTCGCGTCGGTATCGTGGTGCCCACCTCAGTGGAGAGGCAGGTGGTATCGTGTGCTTCAGTTGCTCGTGTGTTTTCTCTTTCAGTTGTGTTGGCGCTAAGTCACACCAGAAAACACGTGGTATTTTAAATGTTGAATGTTTTGATGTGTTTAAAATCCTCGTCTGAGCAAGGTCTCTGGCATTTTAGCTTGTTGGCGTGTTCAGGCTTGTCAAGGGAACATTTGATTTCCTCGGTGAGGCAAACGTATTCCAACCAGGGTATCAGCGGAAAGCCGGGTGTGAGCAGTACCGGGGTGAGGCAGCAGGAGGGACCTGTCGCTTCGCTGTGTTACAGAAAACTAACAAATCCTGTGTCCTTTCAGGCTCTATAGCCAGTGACCGTGTTCCCTTTGAATGACACGGCACAGCCAGCAGGGGGTTAGGGAGGGAAGCGGCCTTAGACGTGCCCTTCTGCTGGGACAGGTCACTTCATCGCTGCGGTTCAGTTCCATCCTTGGCAGGAACGGTTCGTAATGTCCTTTGTGACTGTGGGTGCACGTACAGGTCCTGATTTCTAGATTCAATAATAATTTCTCGACAGTTGTGATACCTGTTATAGCACATCTGTTCTTTTTTTCTTACAAAGGCGGCTCCAGTATGTTTGCTCTGCTCTCTGCCCTTCTCATTGCAGGCAAATTTAATCAGCGGTGCCGTGAAGTGGAGGAATACAAACCCTACTTGGGAGCGTAGGCTGGATGTATAAATTCAGTGGAACTTAGCACGTTACTAGGTTGTGTCACTTCTGATTTTTGTAAGGCCGCAAAGTGGGCCTGTAGTTCCTAATTACGTCCTTCGGCATTCGTTGACTTCATGAGGATTGTCCTGGAGCATCCCAGTGTCTCGTTTGATCCTCCACCAATACGGCCAATGGGGTAGGATCAGGGTTGGTGGCTGTAAACCGAATAACTGATGTTGAAAGCAGAGCTTTGTACAGGACAGCGTATAAACCTAGTGGATGGCTATAGCTAATAAGGTCTCTAAACGTAGGACCTGGTGGGGTGCTTCTTCCCGGGCAAGCACTTGGGAAAGTCACACCGCCCTCTCTTCTGCCACAAGGCTTTCAGAGAAAGCGTTTGCTTTCGCTGAGCTTTTACTTGGCTTCACTGTAGATGTTCACACCCCTTCTCAAGCATTGTAGCAGAGATGGCACTTAAGAAATTAAGGTGGTTTTTTTCCTAGTTGAAAGGGCACTGAGCACCTTGTGACGCCTGGAAACAATTACACTGGGCTCTTTCTCGTTCGCTTTGCTCTGTGCCAGTCATCCCAGCGGGACCCTCTGGGTTCAT